ATCCCCATGAGATCTCCTAAATCTTTCAAAATCCCTTTAACTTAGTTTCCTATCACTAGTTGACCAGTGAGTTGAGTACTCAGGAATTCAAAGCTTTAATAATATAAAGAATACAATTTTAATATGAAAGAAACATTGGTTGGTTATTTTATTTTATTTTATTATTTCTTTTTTTTTTTGCGGTACGCGGGCCTCTCACTGTTGTGGCCTCTCCCATTGCGGAGTACAGGCTCCGGACGCGCAGGCTCAGCGGCCATGGCTCACGGGCCCAGCCGCTCCGCGGCACGTGGGATCTTCCCAGACCGGGACACGAACCCGTGTCCCCTGCATTGGCAGGCGGACTCTCAACCACTGCGCCACCAGGGAAGCCCGGTTGGTTATTTTATAATTAGCATTGCATATTTGCCATTCAGCCATATTATTTCACTGAATAGTACTTGCCGGTCTTTTTTTTTTTTTTTAATGGTGGCAAATTTAGGAGCTCTGTATTCCAATAACAAAGAAGTAAAAGTGTGCGCACCCCTATTATTTCTTTTTTCCACTTAGAAATAGGAAAGATGCCCCATATGAGGTTTTATCTCTGCACAACAAATAAATGTAAAGCAATGCATATACCATGGGAGAGTTTGTATATATTTAATCCCCTGGCTAGCTAATATTCAGTAATGCACGAACTTTTTTAAAAAGTTAAGATTAAACTGCAAAATTAATTTCTAAGTTTTATAAACTTTTTATTTAAAAATGTTTAATAACAACTCCTAGATAAAACATATAAGAAATTATGTTTGTTTTAATGAAATTCTCCCTCTTTGCTAGAAAGTATATATTTCACAGTCATAAAGAAAGACGTGCCCACTCTCTCTATATCTTCCCTCCCAAGAGAATGTAAAAGAAATAAATGGAACCTGTTCCAGTTGTCAATGTAGGAACTGAAATGTGCTCCATTTTTTCTAAAAACTAGGGTGACTGACCATTCCATTTCTCCCCAGTTTTCCAGATTTTGGCACTGATAGTCCCAAGTACCCAGAAACACTCAGTCCCCGGCAAACCAGGATGGTTGGTTGCTCTAATTCAGGTGCCTTCCTTAGGAACGTTTGTGATACTCTATGAATGAAGAACTAGACAGATCTTTAAATACTTAAAAAAATTTTTAAAAGCTATTGCAGATTTTCTTCATTCCCATTTTATTCAGCTTCAATCTTTCCCTTTCTTCCCTGTCATATTTGTTCTCTGGACCACTGGATAAGCTAGAGGTATGTTTTTTCACTCTTGTTATTTCTAATGCTTTAGTTTTTCATTTTTCTGAAAGAGGTTGTCCAGAAAAGGGACCTACTCTGCCTGGTTTTCTGGTGATTTGTTTTGACTCCTCTGTTCACTCCTTATTTACTTTGGAAGCCACATTATTTCTGCCCACCTCAGCTGAAGAAAATACCCCATCACAAAATGTCAGAGGCGCGTGCTGTGTCTGTACGGTGCTTTGAAAACAGCTCAGCGTTACCCTTATCTCCGGCAGTCCCAAGAGCATGGTATCACTGAGTGGGTAATTGTTCACTGCCTGTGACTGTCCCATTACCCACACCCTCTTCTCCTGATTAGATAGCTCTCTGCATCCATATCCCATGCTGGAGGCTTCATGTATTACACAGTAAGGAGCTAGCTAGGCTTGAACATTTTTTTTTAAAATAAATTTATTTATTTTATTTATTTATTTTTGGCTGCGTTGGGTCTTCGTTGCTGCACCGGGGCTTTCTCTAGTTGTGGCGAGCAGGGTCTACTCGTCGTTGGAGCACTCGGGCTTCTCATTGTGGTGGCTTCTCTGTTGCAGAGCACGGGCTCTAGGCGCGCAGGCTTCAGTAGTTGTGGGCATGGGCTTCAGTAGTTGTGGCGCACGGGCTCAGTAGTTGTGGCGCGTGGGCTCAGTAGCTGTGGTGCAGGGGCTCAATTGCTCCGCGGCATGTGGGATCTTCCCGGACCAGGGCACAAACCCATGTTCCCTGCATTGACAGTCAGATTCTTAACCACTGTGCCACCAGGGAAGCCCAAACTTTTAAATTTATGAAAAATTGGCACAGCTGGTTTGCATAATTCATTTGGCTGCTTTTCGTTGAATTTCTCTTTGTATAATTAAAAAAATTTTTTTTTCTCCCTTATCCTCATTTCCTAACACTCTGGTCTAATCAGCTGTGTTATTTCCTAAAGAGTTGAAAAGAAAAATTGTCACAGATATCCAGGCTGTGAGATTCCTCTTAGTTGGAAATAAGCCGCATATGTCAGTATTCATTCAGAGGCTGAAATTTGCTTTGCTCTGTGCTTTTGAAAGCCTAAAAGCAATTTCAGATCATCTTCTATCATATAGCTGTCTTTTTAGCAGTGCAAAAGCTTAGTTTCCTAGAAATGACTGAGGCTTCTGCAAACAGCCATGTGCTGATATATACAAATTCGATCCATTGGCAAAGAGAAGTACTTTATTAAAACTACTTGTAATTAAGCGTATGTTTAATTGTGTCTGAAGCCCTGACCATGTAACATGTGGAACAGCCAGGGAGATAAAAAAAACTCTTTCAAATAACACTCTGCAATGAGGGCTGCTTACCTTGTTTTACCCTCTCTGGACTTTGCAATCCTGGCTGTAATAGAACCCTCAGTCCAAGTGTCCCTGGAGGGTTCATTAACTTGGGACCTTATGAAAGCAAGGAAATGACATGTTGAGATTACACATTGTTGAGATCCCACATTAAAGAATGAGATCTACCTAACTGAATTATACAGTTAACATAAATAACACTATGTAAACAGCAGACTCCAGATCAAATAGAATTTGTGGACGATTTTAGCCTGGATTGGCCGACAGAGTGGTCCCTTGTTCCATTGCTGCGCGGTTTCCTCTTTCTTCTTCCTGTGTCATCTGTCTGAGTCTGTGCACGCCCTTTGGGATGGGGCTGTTCTCGTTCCACTCAAGTTAGCACTGCAGTGCTATCAGAGGATGCAATGTGTGTATCAGAGCATTAGGGACATTTCTCAGAGTCTCTGTTTGTAACTGTTGATGGCTTAGATTAATGGGGGGAGGGAGCTTTTGATTGCAGGAGACAGACACTCCCTTGATTTGCTTTAGTGGAAAGAGAATTTATTGTAAGGATGTATGTTGACTGACACTGTAGGAACTAGCTGTTTTCCTGTTCTCTCATGGGCTCTATCGTCTCTTCCATTGTGTCTTTGCTCCTCTTTGTTTTTTCTCTTCCCTCTACAGATACAATTCTTTGACTTATAATTTTCTCTCCCTCATAAATTTAACTTTCACATATCTCTCTGGGCCTCCTTCTAAATCCAGAACTTTAAGCTGCAGCTCTGAACATTCACTGGCTCAGTCTCTGTTGTTCTGAATTAAAGTCCTGGTCTGATGTAGGATATTATGGATTTTAATACTTGTCTCTCCCCCGAGACTGGATGCTTCTTGAGCATAGGGATGAAGTCTGTTTTCTTTGCCACAGTATACCCACAATGCTTAGCACAGAATAGGTACTGAGTAAACACTTTATGAATGAATAAAATATGCAAAAACCCATCTGAAATCCACTAATAAGTGTTCTTGTGGGGGAATGGTTTCTACGTGACTTCAACTGGCTGAGTCTTCTCAAACACCAGTCGGTTTAGGCTGAAGCCACCTTATTTCTTTCCTAGTTGCTAAATGTATCTCACTGCTCCAAGGACTTTGAAACTGCTTTGCAAATTAGGGTCAAAATATTCAGTAAAGATCAATGTGATGAAAAAAACATTCAAAGAGTTAATGTTGGGAGAGAGATTGTTTCCATGGTGAGTTCTGCTCCAGGGAGCCCTCGTGCTGATGAGAGTGAGTCAGCTGACCCACCACCAACTCAGAGTCATCCAGTTGTTACAAACCTATGGTCCATCTGCCGCATCAAGCGTTGATGGCAGTAACCCTGTATTTGATTCATTACTGGGAGCTCCTTCTTTGGGTAAAATGAGCTTGTAAAAGCAGGTGGAAGTGGTGCAAGAGGGAAGAAGTGGATTCAGAGGCTGAAAGTCGGGGGTGTGCTTTCCCTTACCCATGGAATGGCTTTTCTCTTTATGAGGTGCCACGGTTATCTGACTGTCCCTCCAGGGAATCTGTGTCCCGGTTATATTCTGTGTTCCTGACCACACTGCAGTGACAGAGGGGCCACTCTGCTCCTTTGGGGCTGAAGAACAACTTCCTGATTATAGAACAGGTGTTGGACAAAGTCCTTACTGTCAGAAACATGGACCCCAGATACTTCTTGGGCGAACTACCCCCCAACTCCCTGCCTACCACCACTGCAATCAAGTATTCGTTCTTGTTCTTTTTTAACCATTTCACACAGTGATCCTCTGGTAGCAGAAGTCACTATACTGTGGTTTTCTACTATTGATCCTAAACCTTTCGTATTGCTTTACCACGAGACAGATAGCAGATAACATTTTCACCAACATTCTAAAAATTACCTAAGTAAATGTTATTTCCTCCAACATAGTTACTTTGGGAGATGAAATGTTTATTCCAGTGATACATTTGTTACCGAAACATTTTTAGAACTCCTCTTTCAGTACCATTAACTTGCTTCTCTCTTATTCTGAAGTATAATTCAAAACTTTTATATAGTATATAAAAGAATGTATTTAGTAAGTATCTATAGGAATATATGGATAAAGATGTGAATACATATGTGTTTTCACTCTATTCTCCTTAGAACACTTTTACATGTACCTCATCTTTTTTTTTTCTAAATGAAAGATCCAAATATTTGATGAGCTTTCCCATTTTTATGTGAATGTCCAAATTTGTACATGGTTAACTGTGCAGTTCTTCACTTGACTTTAACTTTAGCAGCTTCCAGTACAGCCCCTCAAGTTTGATATTTGCTACTGGACATTAGAAACAATATTATCCGCATGCAGTGAAATTTTAGGTTTCATTGCCTAAAACCTGAAGTAGAAATAAAATGGATTTTCCTTGTCATCTATAGGAAATGTTTGATGTTATACTGGATGAAAACCAGCTGGAGGATGCGTGTGAACATCTGGGAGAATACCTTGAGGCCTACTGGCGTGCCACTCACACGACCAGTAGCACCCCCATGACCCCACTGCTTGGAAGGAATTTGGGCTCAACAGCACTCTCACCATATCCCACAGCAATTTCTGGGTTACAGGTAGTGTCACTTGTGCTCTTACAACCTTACATTTAAGGTTCTATAGGAAACTTGACTGAGATGGAGGCTGGGAGTGGCCTAGAGAGCCATGCGTTACTATATTAAAAATCTAAAGTATTGCCTAATCATATAGACTATTTTACATTTTTACAAACTCAAATCACTTTGGTTCATATACTTGCTCTGAAGTCTTGGCAACAAAATTCTTCAGATTCACATTCTTGGCTATATTGATTCTAACAGATACAGACTATTTTACATTTTTACAAATACAGACTATTTTACAAACTCAAAACGTGTTACCTAATTATGATCTGCCCTAGACAAAATTACCCTGAGAGTGACGTTTTCCTTAGAACGTTCTCCTCTGTTAATTTATAATGGCTTTTACCTAGGTAAATTCATCCCTCCTGTGTCTAAACCCTGCTAAGAAACTTTCTACCTACTATGCAACTGTCCATTACCTCTCCGTGTCACTTCTTAAGGATTATACAGTGGTGGCACTGTCAGGCACAGGGCTAGCTAAGTAAGGTATATGAGACAGATGGACCTTATGGCCACCCTTACCTAACCCTTCCCCCCGAGGCTGCGGGGCCTGTCCCCTAGCTTGCCCAAACAAAACATGCACATAAGTAGAGTCGCCTTGTTTGGAAACAGTCGTGAATCCCTGAGTTTTCTTAGGGGTGGGCAGGGCCCACCTCGGTCATCGGCTATGGCCAGTGTCCTTTAGGGAAGCTGGGACGAGTGTAGGAGCAGGAGGCTTGCTCTCCTGCTGTTGTGGTGCTGCACTCAGGGCTAGAGGTGGGGAGCCAGAGGCATTATGATACAAAGTGGATCTTGCCTTCCTCCATCAATGATTATGTACCATCTACCAAGGCACTGCTGGAATGTGGCCAAACCCCCAGCTGACTGAGGAACAGGTAGTCAATTGAGCTCTCTTGCATCATGACTAGTTTTGTATTAATGGGTTATAATGATAGTCATAATTGTAGATCCTACAGAGTTAACTCTGAGATAAATGGCACTCTCTCAAATGTTATTATAACTGTATTACTCTTTTACAGAATTGCATCTTTGTAAGCAAAAAACTGCCATGTAAATGAATAGCTTTCGAGGCTGGAAATGAACTTGGGAAACGGGCTATTGTAATATGCAGTGTATATGTGCGCACTGGGGCTCTTTCTTTTTTTTTTTTTGCGGGGGGACTCTTTCTTTCCTTGTTTCACTGCCTGCCTGCTGATCCGAGTGTGGCGTTCCACTGACTAGTTTGGGTTGGCTTCAAATTGTACACTGTAGGGTGAGAAACGGATTCATGAAGCGATATGCTTCCACCTACACTAGTAGGTGGAAATGAAATGTTGCACTTTGTTTATGAATATAACACTCCTGACTTATCACCTCCAAGATATCCACGTGGAGTGCTTCTCCCAGTTTCACTTGAGTTACCGTGGTGCCCTTTATCCTGGGGCCTATTTCTCCTAGTAACCATGGGCACTTAATCGTGAGACCCCTGGTTGGGGCTCCCAGCACAGGCTGTGACTGTTGAATGAGCTTCCTGCTGTGTGCAGGTGAGTGTCCTTTAGAGGAAATGCATCTGGGTCTTTGGTTTCATCAGCATCCTGTTTCTTAACTGAGGCGACCTACCTAAGCAGCAGACACAGCTATGATACATGTTTTCCCATGATTTGAAGCAAAACGTTAATAGCCTTTTCTGAGCGCGCAAATAAGTGTCTAAAGATATTAATTTCAAGTAATGGTATTAGAGGAATTTAGTTTATATTCTGAAGATTATTTTTGCAGGACATTTCAGTTGAGGAAGCAAGAATTGTAAATATATCAATTCACTGGCTCCATAATTATTGTGTACTTCTTTGGAGAGAATATTGTTGAGTCTATGTAGGATGTAGAAACAAATATTTTATGGGTAGCACAAATCATAATTTTATTAAAATATTTTTTAAAGGTATCAGGAACATTCAGCTAATAAAGATGAACTGTGTGACTTTAGGAGGAGAAAGGTTTTATCAGTTCAAGAGAGGAATAAAATAACAGATGCTATTCTGAACTTTAACTTATTTCCCAACAGTAAAATAATCCTCATTTTGCAATAGAAGTGGAATTATTAGGCCTTCGTAAATATATTAAATTCCATTCAGCAGCTAACTTTAAATTCTGTGTTTTTAATAGGAAGCATAATTATGCAGTATTATGTAATTAAATTCATAAACTACCAGCACTTTGGCATCGTTGCATGTTGTGTCCCAAATACGTAAGACCAGGTATTTCGAGCAGACCATTTGTATGTCAGAATGTTTTATTGAGTCAGATACTTAGCATCTTATTGTCCAGATCCTACCGTTGTACATACATTTGCATGTTCTAGAAGAATGAAGCTGATGTAATTTAACCAGTGAACCATCTGATATTTTTAGAGTCAGCGTATGAGGTACAGCAACCACTCCACAGAGAACTCTCCAATTGAAAGGCGAAGTCTAATGACCTCTGATGAAAATTATCACAATGAAAGGGCTCGGAAGAGTAGGAACCGCTTGTCTTCCAGTTCCCAGCATAGCCGAGATCATTACCCTCTCGTGGAAGAAGATTACCCTGACTCATACCAGGACACTTACAAACCTCATAGGAACCGAGGATCGCCTGGGGGATATAGCCATGACTCTCGACATAGGCTTTGAGTCTGCAGAAACAAGCAAAATATTCATCTGTTGACAATTTGCCATTGCACTGCTAGGATACAACAATCATCTTAACTCGGCAACTACAGCACAGTATTGACTGTGCTTATGGGCTGCTGTCATTGATGCTAAGAAGGGGCAACAAGAAAAAAAAAAAAAAGTGTACATTATGCCCTTAAGTCTAGATGGATATTAGATGCCCAATCATAGAGATATTTTTAAGTGCAACATTTACATAACAGTACCTTTTGTTTTCTTCATTAGGTTTAGACACATCAATTTGTAATTTAAGGTACTTATCAAGGCACATATAAAATAATTTCCCATGCTGGAAATTCCAAATGACCAGTTCCAGTTGGAACCAATTTATAAACCAATTCCTGTTGGAATTTGGGTGAATCGACTAGAAAGTCTACTTGAGCATGTTGTAATCAATTTAAAAATCTGAAAAAAAAAAAAAAGAAACTAATTAATAAAATCAAAATACCAATAGAAGCCAAAACCAGCTATGGTATTTATTTGCTGGAGACTAAATTTACACTTAAAGTTGGAATGTATAAACATTTTAATATATGTTAACGTTGCCAGAATGGCTTTTCAAACTTACCAAATGTACTGATAGTGCCAAAAAAAAAAATCTCAAATTAATGCAGAAATTCTACAGTCTCCTCAGATTTTAATATTTTTATTTCTTTTCTGGCACACCTGTTGTATTCAAAGTGTTTTGCTTTTTGTTTAGTCACAACTGTTAGCTTGTTTGAAGTTGGCAAAAAAAAAAAAACTCAAAATTTCTTTAGCAGTGAGAGAGAATAGTAAAGAGAAGCCCAATCATAGCTGGTTATGTGAGATGGAAAATGGGGTGTCGTTTCCCCTTTAATCAATCTGAGCACAACTACATACATCCAGGAATCTGAAGTCAGACAGTAAGAATGGGGCACAGATCCTCCTGAGTGCAAGGCTAAACATCTCCAGATGGAATTTCACCTATCCCACTTACCACAACTACGGGTTCCGTGTTTACCGCCAGCACAATTGAGTATCTTTCCATTGCTTCACTCAGTCTCTGTCTTTGAATATCTGAATGTTCTAGCCCTTCACCAAATTCTTTATAATCATGCTAAGGATTTTTTGTTTTACATGGACACATTGAATTTTGATATTGAAAGCTGCGTTTATACAAAATGATTAATTGAAAAACTGTGAAAACGAATTTAAGAGCTTGCAGTAAAAAAATAAACTTGTAGATTCAGAATAGATTTGTTTACTAAAATTGTATCATTTTTATTGCAGAGAATTATAAAGCATTTGAAGATTGAACTGCTTTATTTCTAATGAACACTCCTCTTTACCTATTAAGTCTTCACAGTTTTTCCAGTGACTATAATTACAGAATCAGTGACCTTATGTCTACTATAATCAAGGAAGCCTTAGATTCACTATGATCCAAGAAACTATTGAAATTGACCCTTTTATACAATACCCAAATGTCTTTAGGAAAAGACTCTTGTTTCTAAGAGTCCGTTTTTCTAAAACTCGCATAGGATCAGGCATAAAAGTCCTTTTCTACTAGTACATGTCATGAAGCCTATTTTTTTTGGAAAACAATAATAGTTCATATTCTGTTATCTTATTTCCCCCCATCCAAGCCTTTCAGTGTTTAGGCTCTTCAAAGCATGCACCAGTTAAATAATTTTCTTGACCATGAAAATAGGTTCCATATTGTTAATTAGTGATGTATATATCTTGAGCCTCATTGTAACCCCCCGCATTCCCTCTCCTCCTGTTATTCACTGTGCATACCCCATTATGAACCTGTTTAGCTGATAATGAGGATGCCTATAATCATGTAAGTTATCGCAAATATTTGATACAATTAAGAAATGTGGGCTCAGTGAATTCTAAAAGTTAACATGTGATACTGGCTTGTGAGGTTCTTTTGTCATCTAGTGAAGCTTACAGAATTTTCAGTTAAGACATTTAAAAGAGCTATATCCATTAGGCACTTTACTAAACATACAACCTGCCATTACTGAATACTTTGTTAGAGCACAGAAGAGCATTTTCCAGCAAACAAATATATTTATTACATGTACAGCACATATTTGCATGAAAAAGAAAACACTAGCCAAAACATTTTTCTATATGCTTTACTGGTTTCTTGTTTGTGCGCATTAAAGTATTTAATTGCAAAGAGTGCACCAAGGTGTTAAACTTAGACTAGACAGCTGTTCAGCTTTTTCTGTAGTAGCATTAGCAATCTGGCCATTTAACTACTTTAAGATATTTACATTTTATGGCAGGTAGCTGTAACAGCATTTACATATATTTCCTAGTCAGCAAGATTACCATATTCTTTCAACTTTTAAAAATCTCTTGTTTTTAACGGCCTCTCAAAGCCTAGTTTCTATGTCCTCTATGTCATGCTGATAGAGAGGTCCATTCAATATCTGTGCACAAAACCAATCTTTCCTTTACCATCAAGTGTCCATACCTGTTTTGCTTTGCATTCTTATTCAAAAGCTAACAATCTTGGAAAGGGTATAATGTATATTTTCTTGATGGATGTACTTAAATTTTTACTTTGATTTGGCATATTCTTTCCCCTTCCTTTTATAATACGTTATCTTCTCCAAATGAATAAGGGATATGCATTTTCCTTTCTCTTTTTCTTAAGCCTTAGAGTTTAATGTGTAAATGATACTAAAATACAGATATATACTAAATGAAAAGTTTTATTTTTACCAAGCACATCAAGCACCTTTGGAAAATACATACTCCATAAATACTTTGTTTTTAACTGATTTCATTTAAAGATTAGCAAATGATAAGCAGGAGAAGCAAGTCTTATAATGTTTTGAGGCTGTTTTAACTTGTAGTATAAACCACATATTCTGTAATTTCAGCATATATAATTTCAGAATATGTAAATTACATATTCTGTAATTTCAGTCAGCGAACATGTAACAATGTTGACACATGTGACAATGTGGAAGTGTAGTCTTGGAAAAAAAAGGAATGCAATTTGTCAATCCTGATGTTAATTCCTCAAGGCTGTAATGTGACTCCAGTATTGTAATCAACCATGTTATCTTGTTTCCTCCAACATTTAAAGCAACACTTAGAAATGTTTATAAATGACTGATGATTCTCGCTTATCTTTATACAGTTCTGTTGGAAAGAAAATTGAAATTAACAATTCAGACTGATAGTCTTTCCTAGTAAGAGTCTTAATTATGTGACAATGTGACATTGCTTAGTTCTTAATGAAATGATTTTTTTAAATATAAAACAAATTCTGAGAAAATTATGTGTTCCCTTTGAATAATTTGTTAATTACTTTAATTATTATTGTTGTTGTTTGCAAAATGTATTTTTGGAATGTTAACCTCTTTAACATACCTGCATACTTGAACTTGTCTTTTGTGTGAGGGCCTTAAAATTCATAATAGGAAGCTAAAGCAGTGAAAGGGAGGGAGAGAAGAAAATGATGCCAAAAGACGGTTTGCAAATTTAAACTCCTTGAATGAACATATCATAAAATGTTGTTGAGACCCAGGATGTCAGTTAAGAATGTTTCTAGGCAACCTTAATTTGCATGCTAGTGTATTTTCTTATTATACAATTTTATTTTGGTATTTGCTAAAAAATAAAAACAAAATAATACCACTACAGAAATTGCCCTATATATTGATATTTGTACTACCTCTTCTCTAGAGAAGACAATCTGTCTTTAAAGAGAAAACACTTTTCAATAAGTAGGGAATTTATTACTCTTACTGCTAACCTTGCTGCAAAGCTAAATGCATAAATTGTTAAAATATACTTTCCCCTTAGATTTTCAACTGTTGACAAAATGCTCTTGTCACCCTTTCATTTCTTCCATGTTAGTGAACTTTTCTTTGAATCAGTTCACAGTTTATCAGGAGACAAGGTAAACATTTAGTATGTCAGTAATCATAGGGAACAAGACAAACTGCAAGGAAATTGCTTTTGTGTGCAATTTGTTATAACATCTAGCTCCAAGTCTGAGAGTAGATTCAGAGATTTGATGTTTAAGTGAAGTTGGCTTGCAAATTCCAATTTTGTTGATCCTTGACTTTTCCTATGGACACTTAGCCATTTACTGAGTAGGATCATCTTGGACACTCATGTCATTGGAACAAACTTCATATCAATGTTTCAAATAAATGAGAATGTACCCCTTATTTCTTTTATATTTCTGCCTGTATTTCTGTCTTTCATGACACTGTTGCATGTTCTTTTCTTTATTAATTATATAAAATTCATTTTTTAATAACTTTATGAATGAAAACATTTTAGGGACTTATGTAATAAAATTTGTTTCATTAGTTCCTCATACCTTTAAACATTAGTTCCTCAACACTTTAAATATTGTTAATGCTGTAACTGTTATGAAGTTACTTACTCAAGCTGTGTCTATAGGGCAGAGAACAGTCCTCTTCTTTTAGATGATAATCATGATCAAACCACTCAATACAATAGTTGTCAGATAGACAACAAGGATAACTTTTTTGTTGTTGACTTAAGCAGTCAAGTTACCAAAATAGTAAAATTGGTTTATATGAGCAGACAGAGCTACAGCATTCAAAAATTACTTGTTAAAGGTTTCTTTTTTTGTTAAAATGAACTTTCTCAAATGAAACTCATCCTCATGTAGCAAGTATCTCTCTCTACTTGTGGATGGTTTCATACCAAATGCTTCATGTAATTAAGGGACATTATGAGAGGACTAGAAGATATTTCATCAGATAATCTTGACTAAGGGCTGTAACTCCCACTTACCGTGAAAACATAAATAAGAGTGAATAGTCATGAGTTTGGGGGAGTCATAGTTACATATGAGATTTTCCTTTGTTTCTTTTGATGTATGTAAAATGTTTGTAGAAAGATGGTAGAAAATGTTATTAATGAATTTAGAGTGTTTGGGGAATACACTGATGCTGCTTCTTTGAAAATTATAGAGTTAAAATGAGGACTATCTAGGAACCAAAATTGGCAGGCCTCCAGCTTTACAATACTTTGTAAGTGTTCTTGGTTATGTTTTGAACATTTGAATTTCTCAACAAATGGCTATGTCTATATTTATGTAGGGGCCACTCTTGCTCTACTTGCATGCCACTTTCACACATCTTTAACTGAGATCAGTGTGAATTCTGTATGCATATGGGATGTATTTTAAGATGCAGGATCATTAATGCTATATTGTTGCATACTATTTTTTATTTTTCATATGCCTTACAATATTTTCTGGGATGTTATTAAAATGAAAGCATTTTATTGCCAAAATAAACCTATGTTGTTATTTCTAATCTGCATTAGCAGTAGAAAAATAATGTAGCAAAAACATATATTGTATAGTACAAAATTATAAAAGATATATATTTTGCCAATAATATAAAAATAGATTGAGGAGAAAGAAGCACATTTGCTATAGCACAAACTTACAACAAAATCCACTGTTAAATTTGGCAGTTGTATTTTTTAAAAGTATATAGATTTAGTTCTAAGTTTTATCAGATTTATTTCATCTACCATCTTTTTAACTTGCTGCTTGATACTTTTCCAGCAATTTACTTCATAGCCTTGCAATCTGTGGATGTAATTTATTTTACTTTATCCCCTTCCATAAAACTTATTAAATTTTATTTTGTGATAAGACTCCTACTATATTTACTGTTCTTATTTCTTCTCCTTCAGTAACAACTACAAAAAGTAACAGCAAGTGAGCTTATAGGGCTCCTCTGAATTTTGGACATGTTTGAAATGTTTTATATTTTTCACAGCCTACAGTCAGAATGAGAAATAAAGATGTCCCAACAACAACAAAATATTTAGGGATTCTTCAATTTGTTTTGTACTGAATACCATTTTGAAACATAAGTAAAAGCCATTAGCTGTTTTTTTTTGAAAGGGTGGTGGGAGGGAAAAGCATAAACTTATTAATACTAAAAATAAAAATGGCAAATTGATGTAAAAAGATTTCCCTACTATTCTGAGAGCTGTTGATATCCCAAACTATTGCTATATCTCCAGCTACAAAGTGGGAAAAAAATGCTTTTATCCAGTATTTTTCCTTTCTTTAAATTTTAGTTATTTATTTTGATAATTTACCCCCTTTTTATTTTTCTTACATAGGTAAATGTGTAGCATTCTACAAGGCATGCTGGGTAAAATATACTATGCAAATGTGTACAGTGCTGCATGTTTTGTGCTCCCTCTGCTTTAGTGGCTTTAAAGAAAAAAAAAAGTGTTGTTATTTTTGTGAACCAAAACATTTAACAAAGAAAATGCAGAGTGCATGCATATAGTATCCTAATTTCTATGGATTTGTTTTATGGAATTTAAATGTGTACAAACCAACTGCATTAATTTTTTTTCTTTTATATAATAAATGAAAAAAACACTGAAACCAGCGTTATACCTCTCCTTTATATTATTCTAGAGATATACTGAAGATATACCGGAAATCAGTAGGTATATTCCCGTACCTTTTATCCAAAAAAAAAGTCTAAACATTTACCCTCAAAACACAGGTTCAATTAAATGACTACTTCCTGAATACTCTGCTAGGTGTTACAAGTGATTGCAAATATTAGGAAAGAGCTTGTAGTTAAATACATACACATACACGCATGTGTGCATGAAATAGAATATATTACAATGTATGTGTGAAATAGGATTGAATACAATATAGAAAAATAAACTAGATAAACCGTATTGTTCACAAGAAATCCCTATATGATTATTTTAACAATTATCAGAAGTTTCCAAAGGTATTTTGTACCTGTAAGAATTCCATGGATGGCATACAGCTTATGACTTGACATTTCATGTGCTCAATGTCAAGTGTCCGTGCTATGACTTGATCCGTATTTGACTTTTCTCTCATTGCAGTGCACAAGAAGTTCAAAAGAAATGTGTACTATGTTGACTATTACCACTGTATTAGGATTATACAGTGATTTATTATAGCCAAATTACTTCACAAGCATTATCACATTTGATCAATCTGACCCCCCTGATGGGAAATAGGCAGGGCATAGGTTATTAGACAACTAAAATGAAGATGCCAAAGCTCATTGTAGTCTTTCTCTCTAAAGTACTGTTATCTAAAAATACATATATTAAATGCTTTTAGGCTGATAGTCATCTGAAGCATACAAAACAAGGCCTGGAATACAGTAAATAGTGACTGAATGAATGGTACCTGGGTTATTGGAGCTGTACTATATAAGGCTACCCCAACTATCAAGGCATTTCAACCCACAATCTGCAAGTCCCAACTGGAAGAACTGCAGCTCACTGCAATCACTCCATCAACCTGGCCCTGAAGCCACCTTTTGCATCATCAGTGTATCTCTGCTAATGAGACAGGTTATAGAGAGAAGCATCTTGTTTGTCCTGTCATACAACATGCATAGTGGTTAGACTGTGGCCTCTAACCCTTGCCTGGGTTCAAAGCCTAGATCCAGCAGTAACTAGCTAGGAGTTTGGGGCAATCACTTAACTTCCCTGTGCCTGTATCTATTTTGGTAGAGTGATTTTTCTTTTGGTTATGGGTCATGTTTTCATATTTCTTCGAATGTCCACTGATTTTTTTATTGGATTCAAGATATTGCAAATTTTCCACTGTGAATGACTTGATCTTGTCTTCTTGATCTGTAAAGAACTTTGGCCTTGTTTTGATAAACAACTGTGAATTAGTTTGATCCTTTCAAGGTTTGTTTTTAAGCTCCTTTAGGACTGGTCTAGAGTAAGGGTTATCCTTAGGCTAGTTTAGCTCCTCTTTTAAGATCTCTGGGTTGTCTACTGAATGTCCTGTATATTCTGTGTGTTCTTTTCACACTGGCTGAAGGGAACTCAAATGATTCCTGGCCCTTTGTAAACTCTGGTAATTACTTGTTTTACAGCTCCCCTGTACTTGTTTATTTCCTTTAGTCATTACTGGCTAGCCTCAGGGGGTTTCATACTGGTTTTATACTACACACGTACAGATTGATATGCAGTCAAAGACTCAATGCCTCAACCTATGTAGGTTTCAGGAGCTTTTCTCTGGATAGCTTCCTTCTTTCAATCACTCTGCTTTACAAATTCTAGTAGCCTTGATCTCTTGGAATGCTGATCTATGTCTTCATCTCCAGGGAATTGCCAGACTCTATTTGAGTTTCCACTCCCTCTGTAGCTGGCTGGAATTGCCGCCAGGCAGAAAATCCACATAATAATAAAACTTGTCCCATTTGTGTCTCTTATGAGGGATCACAGTCCTTTGTTGGGTGTGGGCCGAAAACAGCTGTTTTCTATATTTTGTACAGTTTTCTATTTATTAGTGGTAGGATGGTAATTCCAGACCATCCCACTCTCCTTTACATGGAAGCAAAATTCTCTCCAATGACATTTTGCATATCACTATAATCATGAATAAATGAGTCTTTAAAAAGTCTCATAAGGAGTCTGTTTTTACAAATAGCTTCATACCACCCAACAAACATTCCCAATTACTTCTTTAGTAGTTCCAAATTTGTATTTCACCCATGGATCCTACAGTTGGACAAGATTGTATTAGGAAAATTTCTTCTCCCCCTGCCCGCGCACCCCCACCCCCGCCTATTTTTTTCTTTTTTGAGACACTTAGAAGATAAGCTGGGAGACCATCTCCCAGGTTATAAAATATGAAGCCCTAACTTCCCAAGTTAATATGGATATGACACCCATTTAATAAGTTGACAGAGATGTGTGGGGAGTTTGCAAAAAGTTTTAGAGCTGCCAAAAGCATTACCTACAGTGGGCAAGAATGGAAATAGTTGTTTTTCTAAATAGCCTAGAGAGTATTTTCTTATTTCTTTAGGAACTTATTTATTTTTATTTTTGGCTGTGTTGGGTCTTCGTTGCTGCGCGTGGGCTTTCTCTAGTTGCGGCGAGCGGGGGCTACTCTTCGCTGTGGTGTGTGGACTTCTTATCACAGTGGCTTCTCAATGCAGAGCATGGGCTCTAGGCGCGTGGGCTTCAGCACTTGTGGCACATGGGCTCAGTAGTTGTGGCTCATGGCCTCTAGAGCCCATGCTCAGTAGTTGTGGCGCACGGGCTTAGTTGCTCCGCAGCATGTGGGATCTTCCCGGACCAATGCTCGATCCCGTGTCCCCTACATTGGCAGGTAGATTCTTAACCTCTGCGCCACCAGGGAAGTCCGAGAGTACTTTATTATGTAAATATAAACATAACAACCCATAAATTTAAATGGATTAATATAGTAATTTTCTTTCCCTTCATATGTTTCCTCTAAACTTTGTTTCATAATGATAAGTCCCAAAAGAAACCAAAGGACTTTTTCTTTAACAGTTGTTTAAAAAGAGACATGTTTCAGCCCTCAATGCTGCCCTTTGTTTCACAGGTACAAGTTTGCTTACAGACAACTACGAAAAACTGTAGACTGTCTTGAGGTCTTACTTAAATGGGTTATTTTTCTATGTATTGAGATGAGATAGTGTATGACTAGGAGAAGTGGTGTGGAAAGGTGGAGTTTATTGCTGATTTTGTTTCATTTCATTTAGCTCTTGCACATGGGGGGCAGAGCAGTTCAAAATGTCTTTTACAGCTCCCGCACCTTTTTCTTTCTCTTTTTACCAAAGTTAAAGAGAATAGAAGGGGTTGGAGCTGTTTCTGGTTTCTTTGTGGAAGGGACGAAGTAAACAACCTCAGTTTGTTTTCCCACTCTTGCCTCTAACAAGAATAGAGACTAATTATCATTGTTCTCAGATGATCTGGAATCGAAGAAAGACCTTAGAGACAAACGCCTCTGCTGCTCAAAACAGCTTTAGTGGCCACTAAAAATTTTTAAACACGGGAGTGAACTGATCAAGATAGTTGTTTCGGGCAAGATTGATTTGAAAGTGAAGGGAGTGGAACGGGAACAGCCTTGAGGTGCAGGACGGCCATAAGGCGACCGCTTAGGTAAGGCCACCCTTCAGGGCGTCCAGGTCGAGAGATTTGAGAGATAGAGGTATTCAGCTTCCCTCAGAGCCCCTGATGGAATGCCATGTCTTTGAAGGCCAAGACGTGGGACTTTTGGTGTTCTGTGCGTGCAGGGTTGGGGATGGGCACTGGGCACTCAGTGACATGTTCACATTTTGGCTCTGTGTAAGAAATGCAGAAAAAAAACAAAACTCGGCGGGGACGCCAAAGCAAGCAGCCCAGAGCCACCTGCCCCAACCTGCAGCCCGCATTGCCTGGATCCCGTGGCTCAGTCCCGCCGCCTGAAGGTCGTCCGGCTTGGCACAGCAGCTAGGGCCAGGCGAGTGCCCGTTCCCAGACCCCGCCCCTCCGGCCGCGCGCCTGCGCCTTCCCGTGGCCTCCGCCCCGCCCCTCGCCTCCCCCGCTCGCCCGGTAGTCGCCGCCTCAGCTGCCCGAGAGGAGCTGGGGGAGGACGGTGGCCTGCGAGGCTCGCCGCAGACAACGCGGCGGCGATGTCCGCGAGTCAGGCGGGAGCCGCGGCGGCAGCGGCGGGTCCTCGCGCACGACAGGGCGTCCTGGGCTTCGGCCTCCCTCCGGTTCCTAGGAAGCGGGCCGACGGCCAGCGCGGGAGCAGCAGCGGCAGAGACGGAGGCTCCGGCGCGTCTCTCTCCTCCCCTTGAGCCTGAGCCGGGGGAGGCCAGGCGGCCGGGGTGGCTGGAGGGGGGTCCGCTGCCCGAGAATGGGAATTCTCTTCACCAGGATATGGAGACTGTTCAATCACCAGGGTGAGGGGCTCGGGCCGAGCGCGTACGGGTTAGGGAGAGCGTCAGCCCTGGCCGGGTGGGTGGGGGTCTCCGAATACTTCCGGAGTGTGGGCGGCGCGGTGGCGCGCGCTCTCTGCGCTGGGTGCGGGCTGCTGCGGCTGCGGGCCTTGGGGCTGTTCGCTTCCACTCCCAGCTCGGGAAACTCCCGACTCGCAGCCCTTTGTCTTAGGAGAGCTTCCTAAGAAATCATGCCTCAAATACACCCATTGCTCCGATTTCGATTGGGAGTGGAGAGGGTTTCTTGCCTCACGTCCGACGCGCCTGAGTGGCCCGCTTGGTCCACGTTTCAGTCCTTTTTCCTTCAGCAGTTGGGTTTGCACAGCACTGAGAAATGCTGGGGTTCTCTGGGATGAAGGTTACAGGTTGTGGCCCCAGCCGCACCACTGAGCCCCCGAGGATTGCAGAATGCGGTAAAACCTGAGGAATCGCTCTTGGCTTGACCAGTACATTCAGGTTTATGAGCCTGCCCTCCACCTCCACCCCGCCCTTCCCCGTTTTGGGGAGATTCTTCTGCATCCTCAGGAGTGATGGTCCTCTCTCCTCTTGCCATATTGATATCTGTGTTTAAGGTTAAGCTTAAGGTCAGTTTCCTACTCGTGTTGCTTATTTAGAGGTTTTGGGGGGCTGGATTAAAAAATGGTAATGTGTTTCACCGAAAGCACTTAAAAATCATATCATATGAAACGTTTGTTAACTGTAGATAACGACTAAGTTACCAGGTATGGAGTGTATTATAAAGAGATGCTTAAGTTCATCTAAACTCAAACATTGCCTTGAAATGCATATCAGATTTATTGAAATTTGTTACAAAATAAGTGTAAAACTGGGGAAAGAAGATACAATTTTAACAAAAAGAGTCCATAGTCAGTAAGATACACTATAGTTACTGGTGTACTTTTGTTCTTTTTAATTCAAGTAGGGTGATTCATCATCCTGGCTGTCAGTAACTTAGTTTGTGTTTTTCTCTTGTGTAAGCTGGTGGTGGTGTCACAGCCCAAAGTTTTCCAGTAAAGACTTAAATGAATGGTGGCATCTATTATGTACAAGCATCTCCGCCTCCTCCTTCGTTATCCAGCTGCTGCTGTAAGAAGGCTCTTGGGAGGGAGCAGAACTGGAACTTGTGATCGATCTCTAGTGTATCTTTTAAAAATATAAAGATGATAGTGTCGATCACATGATAGTGAATGGAAGAGCAGTATTTCAAATGATTTTCAAATGATATGGAGAATTTTCATAAACTGGAGAAAGCCAGTTCTAATCTACACTGTCTCTGGCTAGCTGTTTCTGTTGAGAGAAGGGTGAGTGGGAGCCAGTCGTCTCACCTAGAACAGCAGGGATCTTGACTGTGTGACTGTGGAGCCCACAAATCCTAAAAACTTAATATGTAGGTCTTAAGAATTGAAGCTTAACATTGCTGTAATACTGGTGGTGCTTATAGTAGATAAGATCTATTCTAGTTTTTAAATCCATAATTTTGTATTATTTTTAGCAAAGCTAGTATTTCAACTCTGCTGTGAAATTTAGAAAGGCTTTGCTTGTTAATTGAGCTCTAGTCCTGCAAGAAAAATTAGGTATTTCCACTTTCTATTTTGAGTCAATGATAAAACTATTTGTCTCTGTAACTTAAGAATGAATTAGAACTTTGCCAACAGCTACTTGCCAGAAGTAAATAATGATGTGTGCTTTGTTACCACTAGCAATCGCTGAGTAGTGTTCTTATTACCTGTATTTTGTGGTAATTTTTGACTGGACATTTATTTCAGTGTTGGGAATTAATAGTAAGAGAAATTAATGAAGTTAAGTTCTAAAAATTTAGATGTCAATATTGTGAAAATGTGAATAAACTATTTCTCTCCTGTTAAATGATGTGGTTGTCTTATCAGCAGGGTCACTTTAAAAAATATTCAGCATTAAATCTAATGTCAGGTACTTGTTGGTCTTTTTAGTTCTGTATTAAACTGGGTATATATATGTGTGTTAGATATATCTTGGATGCTTTATTTTACCTTCAGAAGATACAGAACACAGTCCTATGTTCTTTTCACATAAACTGTTGGAAGGAAGTTTTGGGGGATTACAGAATTTGCTATGCTGATGAAACAAACTGTAACATCTCTCTCTCTCTCTCTCTCTCTCTCTCTTTATTTTTTTTGAGCTCCCTTTAAAACAACTCTTTCAGTTTAAGCTTAAAATGTGAGTACACAGTGAAACCTAATTGCATATTGCTCAAACTTGAAAAACCAGAGGTTCCATTTAGGTGATATTTAAATCAGTAGGGTACAAACTTTGTCCTAGATGCTGTTGTATATATCATTTTTAAAAGTTTCTACAGTCCTTGGAAGTAGTTATTCTTTTCTCCTGAAAAGAGGAAACTGAGGTACCAGTGGAATGATTTTCCTAGACGATGCAACTGGTAAATGCCAGAGTTAAAATACTGCAGAAATATGCTGCTGACACTGGTCTTAAAGAAGTGACTGGCATCATTTTTTTGTATGAAATCCCCTGCCCCCCTAAAGGTGTTTCTCAGTTACTAAACTATAAGTGTTTACAACTTTAGGACTTTGAAGAGTTGCCATTAGTATCTTTTAGTATAGAAGGACTTACGATCAGTACTCGGTTTGTTTATTAAACACGTATTTTGAACACCTATTTTGTGCTGGAGGACTGTTCTAGATGGTGGGGATAGACAAGGAACAAAACAAACAAGACCCCCTGCCTTTATGTGGGGAGACAGAAAATAAGCTAACTTCATCTTTATAGATAAAATAATAGCAGTTAATACTGGCATGCAACGTTAGGTTCTACATGTTTCATGCAGTTTAGTCTTAATTGATTTACTCTTAACCACAACCCTGTGAGGCAGATATTCTCCCCCATTTTAAAGGGGCAAAGAAACATTAGGTACCTTGCTTCAGGCACTACAATTAAAAGTGATAGACCTTTTAGATAGAGATTTTAACCAAGATAGTCTAGTGCCTGAGTTAGTGCTCTTGAAACAAAACAAAACAAAACTTCCTTTGTATAAGAAGGATTCGTGTTAGATAAAAGGAAGAACTTTCAGACACTACTATGAACTATGAAAGAAGTTGTGAAGTTTCCTCATGGATAGCCTTGTTTCATTCTTCCGATTGGTTCTTAGGAAAGGAATGATACGTTGTGAATGAGTTCTGGACAAGCTCCCTGTGCTGCAAGACCTGGTGCTGGGAAAGCCACCTCTGCTTGTGTTGTTTTTTTTCATTGTGTGGGAATTCAGAAGTGCAGAAGAGTACATATAGAAGCTGAGTAGCCAAAGGGGTGAACTGTGCCTGCTATTAAAAATTTTAGCTCCAAATTCACCCTTTTTGCATGCTCTGTGGATACAGAACTGGGTCCTTTAAGTATTTTTCTTTTGCCCTTTGGCACGGTGTTAGGCTGTCGGTAGACGGCATTGGAGGGACCCTGAAGGAGGAGAGGATTTTTCTTCCTGGATATGGCGTGCTGCTCAGCAGGGTCTGTCCTGCTCATGCAGTGTGGACATCTCGAGTGGCTGGCTCTTGCACTGTGTAGTGGTCAGCAGCAGCTTCTTCTAGCAACCACTTAGGTTGGTCTCAGAATGGAGGCCCTCCAGTGAAATACCTCCCAATGAACAGTTTTCCCCAGCATCCTAGAGGGAGGATTTCCAGAAAGATCCACTGGCAAGTTTGCTTAGCTACTTCTCTGACATTCAGTGAGCCCTGGCCCGGCCCTCAGCAAGGTCTGCATCTCAGTCCTGGGGAATTGGGGGAAGCTCTCAGCCCTAGAGATAGGGAATGCTCCGTGTATTTGTCGTTCCTTTAATCTTTAGAGTTACTTCTTGTTAGCCAATCCCTCATTACTCCAATCCTCTGTAGTAGTTATTTTCTTTAAATTAAACTTTGAAAGTTCAAATTGCTATGTGGTTTATGTTTCCTAATTGGATCTCTACTTTTGCCCTGTATAATTGTTACTTTCATTCAGCGAAGTTTTTTCCGCCTGAAACTTAACTACCATTGCTATAAATCGCAAGTTTATTTTCCAACTTTGGTTTTTATTGATGATACTTTTAGATTTTGCAAATTGAATTTTTAGTATGTAGAGACTTGATTAGTTATCTCCCTTCTAACCTTTATGTCTTCCAAATCTGATTTATTTATTCACTCATAGTTTATTAAGCACAAGCTTTATTCTAGGCTCTGTGTTAAGGCCTGAGAGAACTGTAGTAAACCTGACAGAAATGGATTTTTTGCTCCATGTGAGACAGAATCCACGGGGCTTAGTGATAGTTTGGATATGAGGTGAGAATGAAGAATCAGGAGGACTCTCAGTTTATCTGCCTTAGTATTTGTAGTATTTGTGTTTTCTGGCTTTGGTATGATTCACAGAGATAGAAGTCCTCCAGGATGACAGTGACATTTCTTTTTGCTTAATTTACTGACTGGTAGCTGGTAGGATATATATATATATATATATAGACTCTTAGAACCTGGCAGTAAACAGAACTGGTAGGCTGCCTGCGTATATCAAAAGGAAGTGAAGAAGGGAAACAAGCATTTTCATGACAAAACAGTAAAGTATTGATTGGGAAACTAAAGCCTAAGTGATAACTCAAAATTCCATCCAGGCACTGTGACAGTGTATAGTTGTTTTGGCTTATCTGAGAAACTGCAAGAATGCTATGGCATAGATATTCTAGAAGAAGAACCATACTAAGCAGTAAACTTGTCATGAATCACATGCATCAAAGAGTTGGTATAACCAAAAGTTTTATTACATTTTCCCGTAATAACATCTCTTTGTATACATATTATATATTCTATGGAATGTTTGTTTTGAAGTGCATTATAACAGTTTTTAGCTACAAATTTGTGTTTTTCATAGAACATTGTTCTGGTAATGAGAGACACAAGTTGGGGTGGTGAAAGAACCTAAGGATAGTCAAAGGAAGTTGATTTAGTATTAGAAAG